TATTACCTCTTTTTTTAGAAACAAGTTTTGTGCAAGCATTCAAGTCTAAAGTCAGTGCTTATGAGGAACTTAACAAAAACATGATGGCAATGGGATGCCAGGGGAATAGATTTTTCTCTCATCTGAAATGCATAATTAGCTTTTGGTTAAGTGTGCAATTAACATTAAAATTTACAATCAAGTATGACAGTGTTCTAATTTTATCTCCTTTAAATGGAAAAAAAAAAAAGAAAAAAGAACTTAGTTACCAGTGTTACTTCTTTGAATCCCTTCTCTATGAGGCAAGCTGCACAGAAATATCCTGTCATCCAGGCTACAAGTGATACAAAAAGCTTTTAAAAACACTGTATATTTACCTTCTGGATGGCTACGCCGCTTGCATTTTATTTTGGTTTACACTTTTTTGTGTTTTGTAATGCTAACTGCCACTTAGCATAATTAGCAGTTGTCATATTTCTGTTCATAAAGATCCTTCTCACAAAAAGAGAGCAATGTTGCTTTTTGCACCCTCTTCCCAGCTGTGCCTGAAAGCTGTAACATGTGTTTCAGACATCCACTAATCTCAAACCCCTGCAGGTTTCAGCAGTTAAGCCATGGAAACATTTTTGTTAATAGGAAAGAAGAAGCTATACTCATCCTAGCAGTTTAAATCTGATAAGCAGCACCTTAAAAGAAAATTCATACTGCAGCCTAAATATGCTGGCTCCGTCTGAACATCACATCCTTTTTGCCTTTTAACCTGAAGTTAAATTTAACTTCTATTTGCCTTTAAAAGGGGGTTGAAAGTAGTTTCAAGCATAACATCAGCTGCCAAACCCTGTATTTAGTTATTTTTATTATTAATCACATACATGTTTATGTTGTATATGTAGTACATGCAACAAAAGAGACTCCACTGTGTAGGGTACTATACCAGAGTATAATGGAAGTGTAGTTAAATTCCTCACACAAATCACGTATTGCGTGGTGTGCAAAGTGTTGTGGCGTGCAGGTGTTTTGGGGTAAACACTGCCGATGATTTTCCATCAGTAGATTTGTGTTACTATCCAAAGAGTTCGTGGAATTAACCTAGACTGGGCCAGCACAAAGGACCAGAGTTTGCCCCGCAGCAGTTAACCTCAATTCTACGTTGCTCAAGAGTTCTGCTGTTACCATTACCACCACCAGACACAAATGCGCAGGAAGGATGGGGGGGGAGAAATCTCACCTTGCTCTCACCTAATACCCAAATCACTTTTATTCATTCACCCTGCTTCCATCTGGATCTGGTCAAAGTGGCCTCTCCAGCTGCTAAGCAACCTGCACACTGCATTGAGTATTAACTGTGTGCATTTGCTAAGTATATAATAAAGTTACCTTTGGGATTTATTTGTAATAAAAAACATAACTTGCTGAAAATAAATAGCTTTCCTTTAGTAATCAGTAATTAGCAACTCTGAGAATACAAAATTGTTGGTCAAGAAAGAAATAATCCACATGTACCTCCCAAATGCAGACAGAGATTATAAATTGGCTCCTTACAAATATATCATAAGGGAGATACTTTATATGAAAATATGGCACTGCCATCTGTAATAATTAAAAAACAAATCTAATCTGAGAATTACATCTATGTAGATATTAGAATATCCACATGATATATATGACTATATTTAGGTAAGTAATGTTTTAAATGAGAGATGTTTAAATTGCCCAGTCTCATCCAACTACAAAATGAACTTTCTCAGAAAAGGTAATTTATTCTATTTACACAAAGCCACCATTCCTAAACAAGACAGAAAAGACTTGAAATTAACACACATTCAACTGATCTTGGACTTCTTTAAAAAAAAAACAAACAAACAAAAAAAAAAACCCCACAACTACAAAACATTAATTCACATAACCCCTCTCCAGACCATTTTACTATTTTGCTCTCTAGCTGCAGAACCACCATTCTACCTTAAAAACACCATGAATATCTTTGCTATGTCCCATTCCTCCCAAACTCAAGAGGTACTCCTTTCAAGCCTTTTCAAAGCAGATCATTTCCCAAACTGCTAGCTCACTAGCACAACTGATAGGACTCTTATTAAAATACCAGCTTGGGTGATTGAGGTGTTAATGTCAACAAATCAAGAGGCCCACTAAGGACATCAAAATTAAACAGAGCAGCAGTCTCTTTTGATCAGTACATTTGACAGCTTGTCAAATCTTGATTCACAAAATACGGACTTCCTCAGACTCAGCACAAACACAAAAGCCAGATCTCTAGCTTAAAAATGCTCATCAATTTCTAGTGGGGATATTAACCACGAGACAGGCCAGCAAGACCTTTTACAGAGACAGCAACATGCTGTTAGTCTTTACATGCAGCTGCTTGGCACTTGAAGCAGTGTTAATTTTTCTTGGCTTTAAGAAAACCCAAGGAGAAATTTTGTAGCTGGGGTCCTACACCCAAATATTCTGCCCTGCTGTTCAACACAGGCCCAAGTCATAAAGTCCCACTGATCACTGATCTCTCTGGATAACAGCAGAGCAGTAGTAACCTCCCCCCTGCCTTGAGATTTGTAGGACACAAAACCAGGTTAGTTGTGCACAGCTCTTGAGCACCTCCAGTCTGCCACAGCTGCAGACACTTAAGAGCTCCACAAGCACCCATGAACTGAAAGGGACCTGGCTCCACAGAGCGGAGAACATTAGAGGTTCCTAGAAGTGCTCCTCTATGGATTTTATAAAGACATTTGAAGTCGTTAATTTAAACACTTGTGCCTTTTCCTCCTTTGCTTAGTTTCACATTAATTCTGATTCAGGTAAGACTTAACATCAAGCTTAAAGGGAGCATAATTTTTTAAAATGTCAACATAACCAGGAAGTTGTAAGTAAAGTAAAGTGTTCAATGGAGCTGCAGGGTCCCACACTCACAGAAAATCAATAGCAGCTCTAAATAATTTTAAAAAGCGATTAGAAGACAAGTTGTTAAGAAAACTCTTCCTTCCTACACACAGGAACACATAGTTCTGGTATGCTAATGGCCCCCACTACTACTACATGTACCCTGAAGAATACATTGAAATTAAAAGTTTAGTCTCAGGACAGGCAGGAGGTAAAGAAGTTCAAATACTGTGCTTTTTCTAGAGGTACACACTTAACATTTTTGTTAAGGTCCTTAAATCATGACTCACATCGGGGATCCATGCAAGGAGCACAGAAAGAGAGAAGAAAAGAGCACAAGTCACTTTGGAAGCTGTCAAACACTTACATGAGCCTTTTATTGAGAATAGATTTTAAATCAACAGTGTTGTTGGTAACTCCAATATTAAATGTCCTATAGATAGCCATTCCTCTGAGGAATCCACCCAGCATCTTTTTCCATAAGAAGTTTAAGGTTATTAAAACTTTTTTCCCCCAAAGCCTTCAAACAGATTTAATTAAAATTGCTTAATTCATTTTAATCCCAGAATCTCTGCAAAAATCCCAAATATTTCATGGTGTTTTCTGTCTTGCTTTTACTCAACTTATTAGTGAATTTCATGTTCTGATATTAAGAAAGACAAACTGGATGGAAATTGTCTTTAGTTGCTTATGGGGCCTGAAGTCCAAACATTCTTATTACCTAAACCCAAAATTAAATCAGTTTCATGCCAGAGTTTTGCAACACAGAAAGGATCTTCTATGAAATAATTTGTTGTACCTTGTACCCAGCAACACAGAAATAAAATTAATCCTACTGTCGCAGTAAAAAGAAGAAAAAAACTCCTCATTTTAGATTCTATTTTATTGCAACTATGTGACTATTCAAGATCATCACAATAAATCACAAAAAACAATGTGATTACTATAATATTACATTTAAATGCAATAATTAAAGACTAATTATACATCAAGTATATATAGGTCAACTAGAAAATTACACTTGTAGCTAGGGCAGGATTTGGGTAGAAATGGTATACAGTTTCAACTCATCTTCAAGCCTGAACATTAAGCTTAACTTGTGGGAGAAACCACTACGCAGACAGCCCCTTTGAGTTAGTGAGCTAACTCCTTTGAAATTGTTTAAGAGAATATTGACCTCATATCTTCTACTTGAGATATTTTATTTCTACGCAAAGCAGAAGAGAAGAATCTTGCAAACTGGAATTCCACCTGGAGCCCCATGGTACTTTAAAACACAGCAATCTGAGCCTAGTTTTCTTAAACATGCCAAGTAATTCACTGGGACACAGAGGGGTTAAGCACCATCAGGGTAAATTGCATTTGCACTGTAGGGTTTAAGTCACTTGCCAGCAAGTAGAGTAAAAGAAAACAGTTGCTTTCCATAAAAAGGAACATCATGAGCTACTGAAAATTGCTTGGCCTTGGTCCTCTACTCTGCAGCTCAGGAACTATTTTTAACTGGGTTAGGATGCTTTAATTCAAAAAGGCTGAAGAGGTCCCATGACTGAGGAGGGAGCCTCCAGCTTACCTGCACAAGTTCTCTTCCCATTTGATTTAGCAAGAGGTCGTGTCAGCAGAGATGGTTTGAAGCATACCTCTGTCTTCCCCCTGAGGAGTCCTGGATGGATGAAGTGAGCTGGCTTGGCGCTGCTGAGCAGGCACATGAGTTGCAGGAAGACACAAGTATCTTACGTGGAGGACATAAGCTGATAGTAGAAGCTATGCCTAGAGTTCACTCATTAAGCGCTCACTGAACTTCACCTGCTAGTGCTCACTCAAAAAGCGCTAGTAAAGGGCTCCAGACCTGCTTCGGGTTTGTTGCAGTTTCATAGTACACTGACTCCTAAGAACATAGAGCCACTGCTTAAGGCCGTATCAGGAGTCTCACCAGTTGAGTGAGACAGCAATGCAAAGAGCAGGTACCCAGCCATGCTGCAGGGATACATATGACACAGCCACATAAAACATATGAACAATCAAAATCTATATTAATCCAAAAATCTGTTTCCAAACAAGCTATTTTTTTTACCACTGTATCTTTGGTGGGATTAATATAAAGCGTTTTTGAAAATGCTGGCACTTACCCAAATCTGCAGTTTCACCCGCTTGTCATTCCTATAAACTGTTTTCACTTTGAAGTCAATTCCTACTGTGCTAACGAAGGCTGGCGTGAAAGTGTCATCAGCGTATCTGAAGAGGAAGGATGTTTTACCCACGCTGCTGTTGCCAATGATCAGGAGTTTGAACATGTAATCAAAATTTTGATCTGAAGTGTCTTTCTGCCTGTATCTGGCATCTGTTACTGAAGCCATCTAAGAAAATGACAAACATTGAAAAAGAACAGATTTAAGAGCAGTTCAGCATTTGTTTTCCTTAACTGCGTACCATATGTTTAGCTTATCTCTCTTCTTCCTAATATCATTATCACTTTATCTGCTGAATAAAGAGGAACACGAAATCTTCTTTTAAATCTTGGCTTTAAATTCCTATTATCCACTTGTACTGGAAAGATTTCCAAGCCCAGGAAATACACCTGTTGCACTGCTTTGTGTTTAAAAGAATAACAGATGGCTATTGCAGATTGTTCAAATACTCGTGGGGAAACAGCATTCCTTACTCCTGTGGCAGGGTGCCACTTCTGTTGCTCCAATAAACTGGAGTACTGCACCAAGAACTAAAACCTTGGACAGTGCATCCAGCTATGCAATTCATTAAGCAGTGACAAGGCACATAAACTTGGGACTACTAGGGAAAAATCTACATTTCTAGTACATGCACCACCACCATTTTATCCCTAGAAAAGTTCTGTCCTCAATATTTAGAGAAAAAAAAAAAGGCAATGGGAGAAGATGAAACACCAGGAATTTCAGCTGAAAACTTTGAATCCATGCAACACCTATCTACTTTCAAGACAGCAATTAAAATAAACAGCACCTGCATAAAACATGAGGGCTCAGTGGGGCTGTGGGTGGCATTTGGAATGGACAAATTATCCCTTTTGATTATGGGAGACGTGAGAGTTGGGGACGTTAGTGGGGTCTCAGAAATCCCTCCTCTTGTGACCCTGAACTGGATTCAGGAACCTAAAAACAACTGCAGAGTCGGATCTATCAAGACGGGTGGAACTCACTGAGCAGCCCTGGCTGCTTTAACAGAAGCAGCTCAGACACTCCGTGGGAGAAGGCAAGCCCCTGCCTTTTCATCTCTGTACCAAGTGGAAGACAACTACACAGACCAAATTACTAGAAAGGGGAAAAAGGAAGCTTTACCTTTTAACAGATATACCACACTTTTCATCTGTAATGCTGTTTCAAAAATCTACCCCACATCAAACAAGCAAAGCTCTCGGCTCCTTATAACCACTCCGGGCGTTGTGCAAACTGGGGCAATGACAGCACAGGTCTGATTAGCAGCTACTCATCCACCAAAGCAGGACACGTGCTACCTGTGTCCAGTGTCAGAAAGCACTGAGTGGAGACCAGTCTCTTCTTCCCCCGGCATCCAGAGAAAGAAATTATTATTCCTCTCAACTCAGATTCGTGGGCATCTTTGGGAACAAAACTCCCACCAATGTCTACTCTCACCATGTGCCCAAATACTTTACTTCTTAGCAAGTCTCACCTGCACACAGGACTTCAATCACTGAAAAAAACCAAACCAAAACAGTTCAAACCTCACTGTAGTTAAACAGCTATAAACCAAAATGCTATCCAAAGGCAATTTAAACTGTGATGAAAATTTCATTTAAATTCCCAACAGGGGTGAAACAAACCAAAACCAACTTAGTTAAAACTTCACTAAAACATGCATGACGGTTTATCTCCAACTAAACACATGCAACTTCCTCACACAGAAAAGGGCTGGTGCAGCAGACATTTCATTCAGGCTGCATTAACAAGGACAGTTTCTGAAGGACTTTATCTGGCTCAATAGTCAACAGCTGCACTGAATGCAGTAAAATGCTTCCCATAAGTGATTCTCTGTAGGATACAACACAATTGTGATACACACTCTTCTGAACTTCAGCTGCTCTTCAGTAAGACTACAGTCCTTTGCAAGCACTCCAGAAAAACCAAGCACAAATTTTTTTTCTCACCAGTGTATCAGAAAAGGGCTCTTCTACTCATGCCTTGTGGTTCTTAACAGGAATTTCTAAAATGAAGAATTCAATATTCATCTGACTTACAAACACACAGGCCAATGCTCTCACTGCCCACTTCAAATGTTAGAAATCTCAGCTGCAAAAATTATGAATCCAGATGATTAGTTGATTTGTACCATCATCAATCTGGGAAGACAGTAAGAAGCTCTCTATTTGAGTAATTTATCTTCCTCATGAACATACGTAACTTCCACAAATGCCCCTGGGAACACATGTACACTTACTAAAGAAGAAAAAAAAAATTAAAATCTCTACTCCATTCCCCTCACAGAGGCTTGAAAAAAAACAGATGCCCTCATCACTTGAAGCCTGGTCATTTAAAGATTCAGAGGCAGACTTTTAACAAAGAAGTATTCCACTAATCGTACAAGAATCAATATCTTCTTTCGAACCCTGCCTTTGCAGAATCCATCTGCACACTCCAAGCTGATCTTTTAAATGAAACGCTGCTGCTTCTATTAACCCCCCCCAGACGGCTATGATCAAAAGCGTACCTGGCTACAGACATGACTTTCAGATCTCAGTTAAAAAAGCAATTACGGAATGCGGCCAGCTAGAGCAGCTTTGTTAGAAGCACAATGCAGAAAATAAGATCAAATGATACTTGCACAGAACGCGGGGCTGTTGTCATAGAAGCACAACACTCGCTGGCCTGCGCGTGCCGCTCCGCTACGCTGAAGATGCTGCAGGCTAGCTCCTTGGATCATTAGAGGCAGCGTCGGAGCACACAAATTTCAAAGAAAATTCCACCCCTGTGCTTAAATTTTACTTTTTCCCTTCCCCTCCTCTGGTCGATAGGGTGAAACTGAAAGCACTCTAGTAGCAATTACTGACTACTCCTCTGATTGCAGATCATTTACTGAAGCTGCGCTCCACCGGCGTTTGGGCTGAAAGCGTTCGCAGGGCTGTCCCTGAATTTGTGCTTGAATCCTGAAGCCAGGAACCCCACAGATCTTCTCCTCCCTTCCTCTTCCCCACTTGTTGTCCCACCCCTGCTCCAAGTGCTCCCTAGTTATGCCAGTCCTGAGGACAACACGGACAGCTGCTTCAGAGAACAGAGAGATCCCAGTTAAAAATAAATCCTCCTACAACTTCTCCTGTTTTCCAGGGCTGTTTTTAAAGTTGGTTCAGTTCCTGATCCAGCACAGCTGAGGGAGCCAAGGGGAGAGGACCAAGCAGTGGGAAACGATGGAGGTTGCTATGCTACTGAGAAAAAGGTCCACAAAATCACCTCTCCTGCAGGCCCTCCACACCTGGTGGAGATTCAGCATCACCAGCGGAAGGAAAAGGCAACGACGCACAGGCGTCGGGCAGCTCCCATCCAACTCATCGGAACAGCTGGCACAGCCATCGCTCCCAGAGGATTTTATCCCCTCCTTGGCAAAAGGACGTTTAGTTGGCAGCGTGACCCCGTGCTCTCCAGGTGCACAGCTACACGTGCTCCTTGCTTAGGGTGGCTCCAAACACAGCAGCATCTCTGCTGTTTTACAAGCACGGGCAGACTCACTAGGGTTTTGTTACAGAAGACCAAGTCAAATACGACTGGCAAGTGGAATGCAAAAGGGAGGCTCCTGACTGTTTCCTTTTTGACTGCCTTGGAATAATCCTCAAGAAAATACCTCTATGGGAAAGATTTAGCTGCATTACCGAACACCCATTACACAGGGGAAGAAAAAGCTGCCAACCAAATTATCCTTGAGAACACTTCAGTATGAGACCTTGCATCTTTTAGTTCTTTGCCTGGGTATCTCCCTTCTTTGTAGCTAAGAGCATGCTAATATTGACAACCTGTTTTCCCCATATGCTTGAGCAATGGGAACAAGGTCTCAAACACATCCACTTCCAGCTAGTTTTGGGAGAAGTTACGCAGCTACGAGATACCTTATTATTTCTCCATTGAGGCAAAAGCCTCCAGTGTGACCTTGCCTTTTATTAGGCAGAGAAACCACATAGGAAGAGGATGCTACAAATGCTCTAAAGCAGTAAAATCTTAATCAGAGTTTATTAGCCACCAAAGAATGCATTCCTCAGTCAAGATGTCTCTCCTGCCTTTATTTTCTATTTTGGTCTAATGAAGTTAAAAAAAAAAATAAGCCTATCATCATAAGACACCTCCATGGAAAACCAGTCTTCATTGCCTTCAGCATTCACTGAAATGTGTCATATAGATGGCTCCACACAGCTGTTCTCTTTAATTTGTGACCAACATCATGGTGAAGAATCAAGCTGTTTTGTATTGCAACAGGAACCATCAACATGTTACTGCTCTTACGAATCACTAAAAGTGGTCACCGCTGCCCCAGTTCTGCAGTATTTACTGCCTGCAGCCAACTTCAGTGAAAAGCAGTACATGAACTGTCCAAGGCTGATGGTGTTGGCTAGAAATTAACTGGTATATCTTGCCATCCATTCATTTCCATAAAAAAACTAACATTGAATTCAAGTGTTTCCAGTCTTTACCATTTTGGCTACAAACTAAGAGAGGGCTGTTCTTCTCTATCCACTCACAGACAAGAAACAAGAAATCTGATCATTATCTTGGAAGTTTAGGCATCTCTGTATTAGCAACCACATGGGTCTGTTCACTGTCCCAACTCCCACTCTCTCACAACATTGCGAGAAACTGTCTGAATTGCCTTTGGAAAAGGGTCTCCTTGTCTGCTGTTAGTCACCTCAGTTAACCAGGAAACACGGTCACACTGATGGAACTTATACTTCAAACTACACAGGAAGATATATCTGCAATTTCAACTTGTTATGAACCTATATATTCTGTATATTACAAGTTCTGTGCATTTCTAAGAGTAAAAACTAGTAATATTTGTCACTGCTTTATTTTTAAAGCCAGAACTGAAATTTACTACATAGGTTTTGTGTTCTATAGGACCAGCAGCAATTTAAATATGACTGTTCAACTGTTTCTTCATCATCCGCTAGCACATACGTTTCTCTCATTAGGCAGATGAGAAGATGGGGGTGAAACCGCCCCTCTCTTAGAGTCAAAGACCTTATGACAGCATGCTACTTCAGGCTGGGTCCAGCCTCGGACTGTGTGTTCAGCAACTGAGCCTCTGTTTCTCCTGACTTACTAGTTTACTGCCTTACAGAGCTAGCAGTGTTAAACCATGCCTTTATTTCAGAGTCAAAACT